CAGAAATCAATGCAGTTGATTTTAGAGAAACCAGACTCCTTGGGGAGCTTTGAGCTTGTGGATTTATTGCTTTGTTAAAAAAACAAAACTAATTGTTGTAATTCATCTCACCATATCTCTAGTGATCGCATTTCAGACACTTTTGATCTCCTTTTTAAATTTTGTTCCTGAAGTTTGAGTATAAAATTCCATGTATGTTTTATAATAATTGTTTGTTTCACAAGTGCTGCTACACTGCTATCTACCTGACAAAATTCTAGTCGTCAATCCCAGTTGTAAGATCCCATTTTGTCTTTTGCAAAGTCAGACCTCACTGTCCTAATGAAATTATTAAAAATCAAGGCATGATCGTATTTTATTTTGATAAAATAAGCGTAATCTAGAGGCCTTTGCCTTTCATATAAGACACTTCTGATACCAAATGTTCAACTAGGTAAAGTTATTATTTGTTGTTCCTTAAATCAAAAAGTAAAAAAAAGCAAAAAATAAAATAAAATAAATATATATATATATATATATATATTTTTTTTTTTTTTTTTTTTTTTTTTATTTATTTATTTTTTTTACTTTTGACTTTTTGATTTAAGAAGTTTTTGACATTTGGACTAGAAATGAGGCAAAAACTATTTAAAAGATTTTTGTTTGTTTGCACTAGAATACTTCATGTAAATAATAATAATAAAAAGTAAGGGTTGGTCTGTGAAACACTGGTAATGAATACATCTGTATGCTGATTATAATTGCACGAGTGGCAGGTGCCCTTGTTGACAGTGTACTTCTCATCTAAAATATGCCTTTGGGAGCTCAATACAGCTGCATTGCATTCCTAACAGTGGTACATGGACTGCCCAGAGATGGGAAGTGCTCTGTTAGGAAACTTTTTCTCCCCAAAACAGACTGGAATCTCTTTATCCATTCGATTTCCTCCCATGCAGCAGCTGTGCAGCTGGTTTCTAGCTGGGAACTGAGTGCAGTCCGTCTGCGGTCTGGTGGGACCTCAGCCCCGGCCCTCCCATGTGCATGTTAGGAAGCTATAATGTCATGCAACTGGGGCCGTATTATTGCTGCATGAGGCTCGAGGAGTGATGTCAGAGGAAAGAGGAAACTAGCTAACTCCCAACTTAGAGAGCAGAGGTCTGACTGAAGCTGGCTAAACACCAACAGGCTTCATGTGCTCTTCTGTTCCACTGCCTCTTCATTTTGTCTCGCTAATTAGTCATGTGATAACAGGAGGACAGGTTTCCAAACTGCAGATAGTCATATTAGGACTGAGGCACCTGCATTTAATGCATGTTGCATTTAAAAAAAAAACACACAAAAACAAAACGAAAACAAAAATTGTTTCATGGGCGACACGGTGGCTCAGTGGTTAGCACTCAAAAGTAAAAAGGTCGCTGGTTCAAGTCCCGGCTGGGTCAGTTGGCATTTCTATGTGAAGTTTGCATTTTCTCTCTGTTGGCGTGGGTTTCCTCCGAGTGCTCTGGTTTCCCCCACAGTCCAAACACGTGCGCTATAGGTGAATTGAATAAACTAAATTGGCCTTAGAGCATGTGTGTGAATGAGTGTGTATGGATGTTTCCCAGTGGTGGGTTGCAGCTGGAAGGGAATCCGCTGTGTAAAACATATGCTGGATAAGTTTGTGGTTCATTCTGCTGGGGTGACCCCTAATGAATAACGGAACTAAGCTTAAGGTAAATGAATGAATGAAATTGTGTCATTTGGTGTCCTAAATGAACGCATGACATTCTTATATTCCTGACAGTAGAAAAAGCAGAGGAAGTTTTGATGGTTCATCAACAGACATTCTGCTGGCTGTGAGTAATCTGTCATCTGTGAAGTTTAAGTTGACTAATTTGAGCTCTACTATTGACTATAATAAACTTTGCAGCTTGTATCTAATTCCTAATTCTTGCACTAATGCTCTGAATCAACAAACATTCATCTGGCTAAGTAACTTTGTATGTCATCTTATTTTACTAACCTTAACTTTAACCTAACAGTCTACTAATACTCTCTCTCTGTCAACAGACCTTGTAGCCACGTTAAGCAACTTTGCAAGTGTCAACTTGTTTTACTATGCCTTTTATTACTTTAACAATCTACTAGGGTGGATTCAGGTCAAATGGGACACTTGTCCTTGGTCATCTCATTGGCAAAACAAGTCTCAATTTTCCCTGACTTCATACCAATTCTCCACAAGTATGCTGTCAACTGTCATTCTGGTTTTAGTAAGTGAAGTTAGGGTAGGGGCGACATGGTGACTCAGACAGCAAGAAGGCCGCTAGTTCGAGTACCCGCTGGGCTAGTTGGCACTTCTGTGTGAAGTTCTCCTCTTGTTCTAGTGGGTGCTCCGGTTTCCCCCACAGTCTAAAGCACAGGTGTCAAATCCAGTTCCTGAAGGCCCGCAGCTCTGCACAGTTTAATTCCAACTTCCAACCCCAATTAAACACACCTGATCAAACTAATTGACTCCTTAAGGCTTGTTTGAAACCTACAGGTAGCCTAAGTGTGTTGAAGCAGGATTGGAACTAAACTCTACTGGGCAGCGGCCATCCAGGAGCTGAATTTGACACCTCTGATCTAACAACATGGCTGTAGGCTTATTGGGTAAACAAAATTGGCTGTGTGTGTGTCTGTGTGTTTGTGTACGTGTTTTTGTGACATATCAGGACACAAATCTGTATAATGACATGGGTATGACACAGGTGTTACAAAAAGGAGGTGAAATATGAGGACATTGGTGACGTCCTTATTTCTCAAAATGCTTATAAATCCTACAGAATGACTTTAATCATGGAATAAAACTGCACACAGTCTCCTGTGATGATTGGGTTTAGGGGTAGGGTGGGGTGAGGGCAATACAATATACAGTTTGAACAGTATAAAATGTATGGAAACCTATTTAATGTCCCCACCTTTTACAAAAACAAACATACTAACATACTTTGGACTAAGCCAAAGTAAAATTAACCCGAACCTAATCCCTAATTTGCAATTATGTCAATTTATTTTACAAACCCTACAAATAATACTAATCAATCTTACTGGCCTAACAGTTTACTAATTCTCTAAAATTCATTCTGGCATTTGCAGATAGGGTTTGGGTAAGAGTTAACTCCTAACCTTGCAAGTATTTTACTAACCCTAAAAAGTCTGATTTGCTTATGAATCCACAGACATAAGGAACTTAGCAAAATATGTCTATGTATTTTACATGTAACTTACTAATTCACTACAAAACTTTCAAAGAGAGTATATGGATATACGTAAAACCTTACAGATTGTCAACAGAATGTTTTTATTTGCAATAATCTTGTGACACACTTGTTGTCACTAAAATCTTTATGATTTGATCACATTTATTACATTGAAATATCTTCTTAAAACATTTTCTCCAATTAACATCGCTGATATTGAGAAGATATCTCATAACGGCTTTATCTGTCTTGAGGGAATGAAAGATGTTGAAGTGTCTTAAACACCCTGCTGTATAGTGATTTGAGAAATGGCAGAAGAGGAGAAAGTGTCTCCCTCTGGAGGAGGAGCTTGTAAAGAGAGCTGCAGTCCTCCAGTTCCCACCAGCTTAGCTTTCTCCGCTTATCTTGATGAAGACAAATGAACACATTCTAGCGTCTAATGTTGCAATCCCCCTTTAGAACATCTGCACTTACAAATGTGACTTGCATTTGTTTTATCAACTACTTGGCAACGTGTAGGAAATCCATAGATATTTGCAAAAGATTGATTGGATTTGGAAATGGACGCCAGAGCCTATTAAAGAGATAATACACAAATGTTTAATTCATCCTCAAGTTCAGTAGATGGGAAGGTTATGTGGATCTATTTGCCCATAAATCCTCTGAAAGATCATAGGCTAATGATCAGTGAATGATACTTATCAGACTCCAGAAGTGTTTCATCTAATAAATGTGCGTCTCGGAGGAGAGATATTGGAATTGCGATCATGACAGATGACGCCTCGCCATTTAACCTTGGACTATGTCCAAGATGGTTGAAATCCCAGGATCTCCAAGGAGAAAAAATAAATGGTAAGGGTGTGAGAAAGTTAATATTCATTTGAGTTCACTATGCCCTACAAGAGTCATAAAAATGAAAGTACACCCACATAAAGTCTGTAATAACGCTATTTATTGATTTATCATGTTTTTCTTACTAAAAAGCAGCGCTTTTACACTACTGTCATGTAGAAATATCGGTGTGAACTTGGTACACTGTAATCATATGAGGCTCCAGGGAATTATAAATACTATTTGACAGACTCCTAAGGAGGGAAGGGTCGATGACACCATTGTGCAACAACGTCAGATGAATTAAACAATCCGCCTGCAAGCTTCCAACACTTTCTTCTCCTGATTGGGTCACTCTTGATCAAAACATGCGACACTCTATGAGGTGAAACAAACCACTTTGACACTTACTAATTCATAGGACTCATGTGGTCCACAGGAATGAAAGATGTCAGTTTAGCTGCCTGATAGTTCAAAGCTCTGTGCTGTCCTTTTCTGCTCTTCCAGACTAGTGCTGTGTAATGCGGCCAAGTCCTTTCATCATTGGTGTTGGTCTGACTAAAGATATCAGCAGATTGGCTGGACCGCTGGGAAAATCCATCGTGACTGTTTCTTTGGGAATGCGACTTCTAAGGTAGTTGCACTACTGGGTGCTTCATTTATCTGGCTCTTGTCTGAAAATCTCTTACCAAACAAACTGACTCAGGCAGTTCTCACCCTGCTTGACATGAAACTCATAGTCATCTGAAAAATGCAACTGAAAGAGAATGAATATATGAATCCCCCCCATAATTCTGTACCAAGACAATTAGGAAAGCACCTTTGCGTAAAACATTTTTTAATGAGGAAATTACTCTATATCTTTAACTTCTGTATTCATAGTACATAATTCTTTAAACCTAACAGTAAATGGGGATCGATGAATGATCATTTGTCAAAAATACACACCACAGATATACATTTTTTTTTAGCTTTTTTTTTTTTTTTCAGAGGTAAAACATTTTTGTTTACATTGGTCAAGACATCGACAAAGTTATACATTGTAAAAACAATCAAACAATGAAATAAAAAACAATTACACAAATTTAAGAATTAATACTCATTCGATGAAAACATCTTTTTTTCTGAGAGCTTCAGTGGTCTTAGTACAAACTAATATGCCTACTCGATTTCTACCCAGTGGAAAGGTAAGTTAATGATGAGGTTTGAGAATGACACGTCTCTGAAACATCGAACCTCTTGATGCAGAAGATGATCAGAGATTGAGATTGAAAGAGAAGTCACAGTCTGTTAGTGTCTGCACGCTGCTGGTGCGGTGGTCAAAAGCATGGCCCTCCTTCACCGGGACCCCGAGTGCTTTAGTATGGTTAGTGGAGCCGGTGAAAGGGGGACACACAGCTGGAATGGGTGTAGGCAGTTAATGGTGGAGGTGGAGATGAAGGGTAGTTTATGATAACAGCCTATGAGGATGCAGCAGAAGAGGCGCTCCAATGCAGAAGTGATGGGTGGTTCACTGCGTTTTACCACTATACCCCACCAAAGGATAACGGCTAACATCAAGACTTCCAGCTGCAACGAACATGTACATGTCTGTGCTTTAAGACGTCTTGCCTGACATCTTCATCGTAATGGTTTTCAGCTCTGTGTACTCTTTCAGTCCGATCTCTCCGCTGAAACGTGGAGGAAAGCAGAGTATGAGAATGTATGTATAGAAAACAAGATGTCAGTTGATTCAGAAAGGCACTTACAGTTCACGGCCATTGCCGGACATTTTGAATCCTCCGAAAGGACACTGGCAGGACAGGGCGTTATAACAGTTAATCCTGCACAACAACAAATACATGTCAACTTAGAGATTCCATGAGAGTTTTATGGGTTAAAAGGAAGATGCTAGATTTTGATGTAAGCATCCAATTAAATGTAGAAAAGAGATTTTATATATATAGAAAATAAATACAATATGTGTACTATATTTAAATGAAATAATGTTTCATCATCATTTACAGTTTTTCCTCAACTGCTTTGGCACAATTTTCTCTTAACATTCTGTGTCAAGATGGTTTGCTGGAACTTGTGTCTGCAAAATGTAGTAACTCCCTCAAAACTTTTCATTCATGCTTCAAAACCTAGTTATTGTGTCAGTAGTTTAGCCAATGCCACTAAAACATAAAGGGCCCTATCATACACCCGGCGCGATAAGGTGCAAGATGTGTATGGCATGATTTGTTGCTATTTTCAGACCAGCGCAACAGTAATATGTTTTGCGCTATGTTGTTTAAATAGTAAATCTATTTGCACCACTTTGTAGACTCATGACTGTTCCAGTCTAGAAAGGAGGTGTGTTAAAGTGCATTGTTGGCCCGTTGCTATTTTGAGGAACTGACTGCGCCAATGATCACCTAAAAGCAGGTCTAAAGTCCAGCAAAAAGAGCGATAGTTATGAACCTATGCAGGTCCAAACGCTTACACATTGCTTAATATAGACAGGATGTACAGCAATACACAAAAATCTTTACATATGAAAAAAATTAAAGGATTAAAATGTAAAAAAATATATATATATATACATTTGTCCACCTGTTGGGTTTGGAGACGTATGCATCACTATATAGTGCATAAGAATAGGATGTATGTTTGGATACAACTCCACACTTGGTTATTAGTGTTAATTTATTCATTAGAAAAACAATTATTACTGAATCTAAATTGAATTTTTTTTTGCTTAAATAAAATTTATTATTAGTTTACTTATTCACGAAAGTAAAGGAGTAAAGAGTAAAAGTTAAGTAAAGAGAGTAAAGAGGTCAAATAGAGGAGGCTCGTTCTTTATCCTCTAAACTGTTTCTCGCTAGTGAAGGATTCAATTTTTCCGCTAACAAAGTCCACCATGTAAATAGCAAATGTACCATGGCATGACACAGCTGACTCTTAAAAGGAATGGGAGATGACACTCTGATTGGATTAATGCAGGATATGCTCAAAACACACCCTATTTCTGCTGAGAATTTTGTAAAAAATAAAAAGTATCATAACTAAAAATGTAATATATGAAATAAGAAATATTAGCTTTATAAATTTTATTTAATGTTTACAATGCAAATCCATCTAGATCCACTAATTTGGTAAAAAAAAGTAAGTCTCTCATATAATATATCTACTAAAAGACAGAAAATATTACTTTACAAACTGTTTTGTAAATAAATCAAATGAACACTTTCATATTAGTCAATATTATTGCTGAAAAACTGAATTAATATAAATGTACATACATTTACACAAGTAAATAAATAGACTCAATGATGGGCTCAAAATCTGCCAAAATCTGCGCACACAGATTCCGTGTGGGCCTATAACTCATTAAGAGAATAGCAGAAGTGGATTCAGACACACCTTAATGCCATACGCTGTAGACTTTGTGCTTAGATCATTAAAATAAAGCCCAAAGTGTATTTGTCATCGTGTGAGCCACACTGCTCAAAATGATTAGCTGTTTTTTCAGCATGAAAGTCAACCATGGAAAATAGGGTTTTAAAAAATCTGATATTTGTTGAGAAGTGAAAAAAAATTAACATTGATATTTATACAGTACATTTATTTTTGTATGAATGTATTAAAATCTTGCTTGACTAATTACTGTTTTGTATATTTCATAGCTCTTATGTTACCACAAATACATACAAAAAACCTACAAAACAGCATCCATGAAATTATCTTTTCTTGGTGGACTTCTTGTTGCTCATGTTGACCTTGCCAGAAATTACACTTCTTTCAATTGCTCTTCCACGACATTTTGGTTGATTTGTGGTGTAAACGTGTTTGACAACTGAGTTAATTGTTTTGAGTTTGATGGCTTACACAATGAAAAATTATTGAGAAGTTATGAAGAGTTTACCAATTTAAATAAGAATCGACTCAGTTTTGATCAACAAGCCATATGTAATTAGTTTTTGTCCAAACTGCAGACAACTGTGCTTACTCTTTGCACACATGTGCTTAAATAAAAAAAAATGACAATCTGAAGTGAACAATAAGCTAATTGTTTAAAGAGCTGAACATGTGGTTTTGAAAAATAAAATTTATCAAGAAATGAGCCAAAGCAATTGAAAAAAACTGTAATGTAAAAATAAAACCACAATCATAGTATTTGTATTAATTTTTTTACACATTTAAAGTCTTTTGGTGACAAATGGTTGGAATCTAGTTTTTTGAAAGATATTGCCAATGATTTGGCTATCCATCTTTTTTGTGACTTTTGTGTAAGTTTTTGTCTTACCAGACGGTGCCGGCCTGCACTGCTGCAGAGATGGTCATGGCCTTGCTGATATCTCTGGTGAAGACGGCCGCTGCCAGACCGTATTCTGTGTTGTTGGCTCTCTCAATCACTTCTTCAATTGTTTTGAACTTCATGATTTGCTGCACTGGCCCAAATATCTACAAAAAAAGTAGTTGTTTTAGTTAACCATTTGAATTTAGATTGATTATTTAGAGATGAAAAAAAATAAATCAGACCTCCTCCTTGGCGATGCGCATGTGGTCCTTCACATTAGAGAAAACTGTGGGCTCCACGAAGAAGCCTTTAGTAGGAGGAGCTTTGCCTCCACACTCCAGTTTGGCTCCTTCAGTGATGCCACTCTGGATGAGCTCCAGCACACGTCTCTGCTGCTCCTCGCTCACCTGACACAAACACACACACACACATTTGTCAATCATTATTAATGTACAGCTTTTCTTCAAATTCTGATAAAACTCCTACTTTGACTTAAACAAATATCAGTTGTTTTTAATATAATAGTTTAAAAAAGAATTGTAATATTTATGCACTGGATTTATTAGGCGTGTTTTAGTAAAATGTTAAAATTTGTTTTACTATTTAAATGAAATTAAATTCTGATGGCATTTCTTTAGCAAGTTGACCATTTTTTCATTGATGACAACTTGCCAAATTATTTATTGTTTTCACATGTCATGACTAAAAATAAGGATCTTAACTCTCAGTGATGTGTGCGGTTAAAACATTGGTGTTTGTGATTTTTCCAAAAATGAATACAAGCATGTCTGAAAACATGGTGCCAGTTTGCTATGTTGAAGTTTGAAAATTTAGTTATCAGTAGTTTACAGAACAACATTTCTTTTTTCCAGACACATAACAAATACTAAATCACTAACAAATAATACATGTCTTATTTTTTTCATAGCTGTTAAAATGTCATTTATTTGTTTGATGCAAAAGCTGAATTTTCAGCAGCCACTGTGGGGGAAACCAGAGCATTCATTCATTCATTTTTAGTTTGGCTTAGTCCCTGTATTAATCCGGTCTTGCCACAGCGGAATGAACCACTAACTTATTCAGCATATGTTTTACGCAGTGGATGCCCTTCCAGCTGCAACCCATCACTGAGAAACATCCATACACATTCATACACTACAGACAATTTTAGCCTACAAAATTCACCTATAGCGCATGTGTTTGGACTTGTAGGGGAAAAATTGTGACAGATTAAATGTGACATATGATTCTTTGATTAATAGAAGGTATATTCATCAGCTTTCATTTGAAACAAAAATCCTTTGTATCATTAGAAATATCTTTACTGTCACTTTTGATCAATGTCATGCTTTTTTCTTTTATCAAAAAAATATTACAGACCCAAACGTTTTTTTTTTCTCCTTATAACTGTGTGTGTTCTAAGTTTTTAATAAGAATAGTGTGCTACCTGAGGTCCGTGTTCAGTGGTTGGGTCAAAGGGATTTCCCACTTTCCTCCTCTGTGCTCTCTCAACACTTCTTCTCACAAACTCATCATAAATGGGCTCCTCAACAAAGATACGGGAACCAGCAGTGCAGCATTGACCGTTATTGAAGAAAACCCCCTGATGGGCCTGTTCTAATGCCAGCTCAACTGAAACACAGACAATACAGTTATATACATCTACAAGCCGCATAAGCAGTATTAAAAGGTTTGAAACACTAAGATCATGTCTAGCAGAACTATTAAACAAGGAAAAGGTTTTTTTAAAAAAGGAAAAAGGACTTTAAAAAGTCTCAACAGATTTACTGGATGTGTTTGAGCAAATTATTCATAGTGGTTTAATTACATTAAAGTCTGATAACCTTTCTACCAAATCAAATTTCAAATGTTCTTCTTTTAAAGCATTTTCCCTTTTTTTCAAATTGGTCAAAGTAACAAATATTATTATACATACAGTGCTCAGCATAATTGAGTCCACCCCATTTTGAAATTTTTTGTATTTATTTATTTCTCAGTGAATACAGGCTATGTATTTTGGTGCATTTAAACAAAACAGATTTATTAAGCAGATATATTTATTAAAATAATGTTTAGTCACCAAACTATTTAGAAATTGAAAGATAATATGATTAAGTTTAAGCTAAATATTGCAAAAAATTATAACCACAAAATTTCAACTAAATTTTAAATTTTTTTTGCTTCTCTTGATTTAAAATTGTTTTTAATATTTTTCTATAACACATATACATTTGGCTGTAGTAGTTTTTGGAGCGTTATCGTAAGTTATTCTGTTAGATAAGCTCCAGATTTAGCTTACGTATTGACAAATCTAATGTATATGCATGCACAAATATAATATTGTATAGCTTCCTAATAAAATATGAATATTTTTATTAATTTATTACTTTAGTTTTATTTTTTATGACTGAACATTAGAGTTATTCAATCAAAATCATATTCTGAAGTTAGAACAGTGGTACTTTATGTTTAGTGTCTCTTTTATGTCTTTAGACTCTTTAAAAATGAAAATAAACATGACACATTTTGTTATTTTAAGCAAAAAAGAAAACCTCTAAATGACAAATAAACAAGAAAAAATAAAACACAGGTGATAATTAGGAAACATCCTCAAAAATGCCTTCTAAAATAATTGATGAATAGTTTTGGAGCCATTGAATTCTGCTTAGGCATTTGTAATACGTTTTTCTATGGTGCGTCTGCTGTTTATGCACAGATCCATGCTTATGTGTACATCTGGGTGAGATAACAGACACCTGGGAAAAGGCTGGACTGGCAGACTTTGGCATTTGACGGGTTAATGGAGCAGGCAGATTTACGGTTCTAGTGAGATGTGGTTCATTCAGCTGATTTATGGGGGGCTGTGCTTGCGGCTGCTGAAAGCATTTAAAGCACTGACGTGCGCCTTGGTTTGGTGGGCTACATCCAGCCACTAATGTCCAGCAGTTTAGGAAGTGAGACTCATTTACATGCAGGTATGCCTCTTCAAAACTCAAGATTTTTCTTTCTTTGGTTCAGACGCAGCTCTAAAAGCTCCCTGAAGGTCTTTGATGTGAAGTGACAGTCTGAAGCAGCACCTGTGCACAAACTGTTGCAGCGGGACAACAGGAGGCCAGCCGTAAAACAGTGTCTGAATACTTACAATCAGCATCTGCAAAAATGATGTTGGGACTCTTTCCCCCGAGCTCCAGCGTGACTCTCTTCAGATTGCTCTTTCCTGCTGCTTCTTGGATCAGCTTGCCTACCTGTGGAGACAGAGACGAGGAGCCTTAATCACAGCAGAGGAGCCTTACTAAATCTCCCTATCTGTGGGACGCTGTCATTAATAAATCGTCCCCTGCTCTTTGACTGGACAACCAGCAGCATTATCAGACCCCTGAGCTTCAGCCCACATCTTAAATTTCTATTAGTGCTCGCGGAGGATGGAATGTCCCGCACGCAACAGTATCTGCTGGCTAATGGAGAACAGGAAGATCTGACCGCAGGTTTGTGTAGGATGCTCGACGCTGTCACAAAATAACAGTAAAACAAGACCCTAAAAATACATTTATTGGCTTTGTTAGTGACTAAATGAAAACACATGTACTTGAGATTATCTGAACTGAATTACCGCAGTGACATTTATACTAAACCGAACTGAATCTGAATTTATTTAACAAGAACCACACCAGCATTCTACCCCTACTCTTCTGCCTGCCTAATGTTATGACGTCTTTTCTTCATCTATGCTGTAAAAAATGTTGGGTTCCACACTATCGATTTGTGTTTTTGACATGAAAGAATTAAATTGAAAGTTAGCTCATTAGTTATTACAAATTTAAGTTGATTGAACATAAAACAATTAAGTTGCCCCTCCAAAACCTCAAGAATTGTGTCGTTTCAGCTCATCAAGTATTTTGAACAAAAATCAAACAAAGTTTTATGAGTGTATGTTAAACTTTTTTATTTATTAACTTAGTCCCTTTGCATGCCCTTTCAGCTGCAACCCAGTAATGGGAAACATCCACACACACTCATTCACACATGTACACTACAGCCAATTTAGTGTATTCAATTCCCCTAGAGCGCATGTCTTTGGATTGTGGGGGAAACCAGAGCACCCGAAGGAAACCCACACCAACATGGGAAGAACATGCAAACTCCACATACCAATGCCAACTGACCTAGCTGGGACTCAAACCAGCGACCTACTTGCTGTGAGATGACAGTGCTAACCACTGAGCCACGGTGTCGCCTGTATGTTAAACTGTTCTGACAAAATCTACATTGTAAAAAGCACAAGAAATAAAGATGAATCCAACAACTTGAGTTATCTGAGCTTGAGGAGAATTTGTTGAATAGGTCCATTTTGTTCACAGCTCTTCCCTGAATGGGTTCCCATCTAAACTGAATTTCACACTAAAGTAGTGGACTTGCTCTCGTCTTACGCGCTGTTTAACAGTGCAGACATCACACAGCTGCTGGCCGTGGCCTCGCTTCACATCACATGCTCACATCAAGCTATTCTTTTCCAACTGCGAGTGTGTGTGCCTAAGTGTGTGGTATTCAATACAATGTGGGGACCAACTGTCTCCACATGTATAGAAATATCAGTATTTTTTTGAACATGTAAGGGAAATTTTTCTTGAGGAAAGATTGCTAATAGATCATACAGAATGAAGCAACTGTACATGTAAAAATGGCAGATTGTTTTCAGTGAGGATTAGAGTGTGCGCACTGAATATACAATCCGCACAGTATAAAAATCATTACATCTATGGGAAGTCCCCATAAAACATGAAACCCCAACGTGTGTGTATGTTGTGAAGAGAGAGAAAAGTGAGTCTCTTCACAGCCAGCTTTAGAGGCGAGCAGCGCTCCTAACCATAAACAAACATTTGTACATTTTTCCTTTCCGCAAAACTTACGTACTGACAGTGAATATTTTCTCTATCTGTTTTCCATCAGATAGCGGAAAGAGAAGGGGAGAGGGAAGAAGACAAGTGAAAACAATCCTCCTCTGACACTCTCATTCAGTGGAAAAACTGAAGAATGTCAATGCAGTGTTTGCACGTATGTCAGTGTCTAACTCTCACAGATGCTATATGTATGTGAGAATTTTTCTCTATTTTGGGAAGGGTATGTTCCCTTTTTTCCAAGCTAAATGATAATCCAACACTCAAATATTCTTAAAAACAAATCTTACTGACACCAAACTTATCTACAGTTGTGTTTAACTATACATCTAATAGCCTATCAATCATTTGCAGTCTTTTAAACTGAACTAAAGCAACTGATTTGAAGTTAAACATTATCTCAATTAACTGTTTAGTCTTTAAAGGGTACTATATATAACAGAGAATTCGTTTGAATGAAATTATTCATTAAAGCAAACGTTCAGTCTCACATACAGTATAAGTAAGTGAACTGTTAAAATGATTAAGTTCACTACACTGAATCAGACTTTCCAATGTCACTCAAAACAAAGTAATTCACAGGAATGAATTATACTTTCCAAAAATGAACCAATTCACTATCCGAATTTCTAAAGCTACATGCAAGAGATTGACTTTGGATCAACTGACTCATTTGAATGAATCTGAATTTCACAATATGAAAGATTTCATGTTTCATTACCTCAGTACACATTTCAAAGACAATGACAATGTCCTTGCACTATAAAAAAAATGAAGGTTCCACTTTTTTTTTTTTTTTTTTTTTTTTGCAACGATGCTATAAGAGTCATTTTGGGTTCCAAAAAGAACCTATTAGTGAAAAGTTTTTAAAAGAACTGCTTTTATTTTTAGTGCAAAAAATATTATTAAAATATTAGTATTATGAAAAAGTTCTATTGAATATTAATGGAAGCCTTAATGCCAATATATAACCTTAATTTTAAGTGTGTGGTTGCACTAACTGGTTTAGTGCTAATTGCTGCAAAAATTAACAGTATCACTTTATTTTGATGGTCTGTTTGTTGAATTTAAGTTGCATTGCATCTACATGCCAAGTAATTCTCATTAGATTATAAGTAGACTTTTTGGTTGGGGTTAGGGTTAGTGTATGTTGACATGCACTTGCAAAGTTTCTTATAGTCAGTTAAACGTCTGTTGAAGGAGATTATCAACAGAAAATAAGCAGACAGTCTACTAATATTTAAAAGAGAAGTGATTGGTATGTAGTTGCAATGCAACTTTTTGTCAAGAAAAGGTGCAACAGGGACATTTAAAACAAAGTCTTACCAAATTAATTTTAGAAACCTAAATGTAAGAAATATGAACCATTTAATAAATGGCACTGCACACAAACAGACTAGACTCCACAAATATCAGCAATGGGCAAGCCACAATACACCAGAATTTTTGGTCTCACTTTATATTAAGTGGCCTTAACTAATATGTACTTACACAAGAATTAATAGTTTGTTACAATGTAATTATTGTGTAAATACATGTATCTATTGTGTACTTATGCTTGATTAAATACATGTATGTATTTACATCTGTAATTAACTTCTGTAATTACATTTGAAAATACACTGTTGACCATCCCTTACACTTTAACCCACCCTCTAACCTACCCATACCACCAAACCTGTCCATAACCCAACCTCTATCCCAACTCAAGAGCACCATAAGTGTTCTCAAATACATTATGAACACAGTAAGTACATTGTATTTATTTTTTGATGCAAGTACATAGTAGTTAAGGACACTTAATATAAAGTGGGACCGAATTTTTTACTCCCTCAAGGAGATGCTTTCCCTGCTCCCTCCACCCCTGGACTAGTCCTCCCTAATACACACACACACACACACACAGACACACATGGCTGAAGTGACTCAGAGTCTGTGCATGAACACACACTCACAGCATGAGAGATCTCGACTGCTTAATCAAGTCCAGATCAGAGGCCAGCAACACCCACAGCAGCGGTGCTGACGCGAGGAGGCCACTGAAGGCTTGTGTGTGTGTCTGCAGCAGTAAAGAGGAAGCAGAGGGTGGAGTGTGTGCTGACCAGTTTCCTCTGAAAGTCACAAAGTGGAAGAGTAGGTGACGACGGCTGGGCTGGAACTGTGACGCCACACTCATTTGAGGATTTGTGTGGCCTGCTGACGCATCTTTCCAAGTCTCAGTCATCACATTTTTTGCTTTATCAATAATATTTCGATTAAAAAGAAAGAAACAGTCATCGCCGTCATCAAAATAGATGATAACTGGGAAATGGCAGTTAAGTCATTTCCCAGTTATCGTCTATTATGATGAAAAGAAACATCTGTTGCTTTTCAGCAAGAGCTTTTCAAGGACACAAGCTTAGGTTTGTTTTCCGTGGAAACAACACTTCTGTTTGTTCTCTTATCAGTGGGAGTTGAACTGTGTCCAAGCACAGACCCATGCACACCATTCTCTAATGCTACTACAATGAAGATATATGCACATTTTACCGTTCAAATTTTTTTTACTATTAAAAAAAGACAAATATAATTTGTCCATTCAGGACAATTACTCAGTTTCAGATCACTGTTTTTTATTTTAATCTTTTTTTAAACTTAGATATTTAAAATAAAATAATAATGCTTGTGCTCGATGGTCACATGATTCTTCACAAAGTATTTTAATACTCAAATCTTCTGCTGAGTTTGCATTATTATTAATGCAAAAATGGATGACCTGCTTAAGGCCCAACCCCAATTTTACCCCATAGCCCTTCCCCTTACGTCTACTCTGTGTTTTGCGCATTCGTGTGAATGAGTAGGGGTGTTCCAATTCTCTTTAGCTTGAAGGTATAGGGCTAAAAGGAAGGGCTTGATAGCCCTTGAAATTGTGATTTTTCAGGACCACACTCAATACCAAGGGGTATGAAAATTTTTAAGAATACACCAGCATAACTGCACACAAAAGTAAGGAGATGCACAAATTGGTGTTTTTGTCATTATTATGAATTTTTACAACAAATAAGCATATGTTTGAAGACATACATAACGACATTTGTGTTTTACTGTCTTGCTTTTTAAAAATATTTTTAAAAACCCGATAAATTTCGCTATCTATAATCCCTTATAATAACTCTTGTATAGTAGTTCTGCAATATACTTTCACATAATAGATAATATAATTCCAGTGTAAATTAGAAAACTTTTTTTTAAAGAATTACTTAATCAACAAAGTTCCAAAGAACAGCGTTTATGTCATAATGTTTTGTAACATTGTAAATGTAGCTTTTGCTAAATTTTAAATGCCATGCCAAATTGCTCCAATCTGTCTGTATATATATATATATATATATATATATTTATATATATATATATATTTATATATTAATTTATTATTATTAGATTATTTATTTATTTATTTTTTGGAAAAGCCAGACTATGATTGTAACTCGCCTTATCCTGCATTGCTGTGATTTTTTTTCTCTTTTTTTAAAGACAGGTCATTTGCAATGTGCATTTTTTATTTAATGTATAGATAAGATTAAATTTTGCTGCACAAAAACCCACTATAAAGCTCACTTATAACTGGGAATGTAAACAAAACCAATTTTCTTGTCAAGCTAATAAGCCTAAGCTTATCTGTTTTAAACACCACCAAATTCACTTCAATTAATAGCAAAACACTAGCCTCATGTGTAAGAAGAGATCAAAACATACACAGAAATATTTTGATTTATATGACTCTGTAATTGAATAAAGGGTTTAAGGGCTTTTAGCAGCGAGGCAAGTGTAGCTAGAAATAATCACTGGTTAAAACACGCTGTCACAGCAGAGTTATGTTGCTGTCGCTGAGGCCTGTTTTCATGCGGTAAATTCTGTGTGCCTAACATGGTGCCTATTTTCAGTCCCTGGCTTTCTATTAAATTTATACAGTTGGCTTCAAAGAGTCATTTCTCCTCCAGGGGCCACAGTGTAGCTGTCTGATGCATAGGGCTCAACAGAAAGGGAAGTCATTATACAGTATGCACAGGACACTTATAAAGTGTAAATGAACTCAGGTGTCCAACCAGACTGGCACAACACTATTGGCACATTTTAGATGTTTGGGCTCTGTACAGACAGACCACCTGTGGATTAACATGTCATTCCCACATCCACCTAAAACCTGTTTATTAGAAATGATTTTGGAAAGCCAGGTGGTCTACTAAGCATTTCTCAGTGCGAGTGTGTGTGTAGTATGAGACAGCAGACAGTCCCCCTATAAACACAACTTCTCAGACTTTTCATTACAGCCACTTTTAGTAATGGGGTATAAACACATTAACCCTTTACTGTTAAGGGGGAAAACATAAACCAATTGGGGTACAATGGCTTTTCAACAAAAGTGTTAGCATATTTTTTCAAATCTTATCAGGGGATTTCTAGGAGTTGCAGAAAGCTGAATACAATGTAAACTGGGCTCAATGTAGCATTTATTACTATCAACAGTGACTGTCAACATCCAAATCTAATCTAGCTCCCTTTTTGTCAACTGTGATACCTTCATCTAATCAGTTTTGGAAGGCAGAATAAATTAATCTTTCACTACTTTCGATATCTCACAATCTTGTGCTTTCCCTTCCCGTCAGTTGAGCCAAAAATAAAGCTAAAAGCTGCTCTTTATGGTCATTTTATTGATGATTACATTTTCACCAACTTTTTCCATTTCTAGTGAGAATGTAGTATTGTGGAAATGAAATATTATCATAGTTAACCCTAAATCTCTCTCTATTTTGTTGTAGATCATTCAGTTATTACGTCACCCATAGGTTTCTGAAGACCGCAAACGAAGCAACAAGTAGGCGTGGCCAACCGTTGCCATTTTGTTCGCACTTAATCGCACCCACTGGGGTAAATAAATAATGGCGAAGAGGTGGAGCGTGAGTGGAGCATTTTGCTTAGACAGGATTTTCTTTGAGAGAAACGCTTAATACTGCATTACCTGCAACTTGTTTGTGTTCTGAACACATAGGCTTGGTATGGTACTATATCAATAAAGTCTTTTAAAATCACTATTTTAATACACTATTTTTTTCTACAGGAGGAAAATGCTGATTACTTCACAATACTTCAGATATACAGTAGTCTGTGTTAGTAAACGCAAGGCTATTGATGAAATCCAGGCATAACACTGTATGACAACGCTTCAGATGACTGTTCTAGAGAGTATGCACATGTATGAATGTGAGTGTATGGGTGTTTCCCCGTACTGGGTTGCGGCTGGAAGAGCTTCTGCTGCATAAAACATATGCGACCTCTAATAAATAAGGGACTAAGCCGAAGGAAAATAAATGAATGAATGAATGTCAATATGTAATTGCATACTTGTTTACACAGAAAAGAGTTACAGACGCGGTTTAGAAAGAGAATGGCAGGCAAACATCAGCAAGCTACTGTCCTTTTTAAAGTTTGGTATTGTAATTACTACCTGAAAACAAAGTTTTCTCTTTGGCAGATGGCTTGTGATGTTTTGCAGTGATGTTGCATGTTCATGCGCTCTGAAGTCATGGGTTTGGTTGGCGATTTGCAGGGTGGGTGGTAGGCTTTCAGTGCTGTCAGGCTAATGTTAGCATTTTCCAAGATCTAGCATTGCATGTTTAACTTAAACACCTAATTTGTCAAATATGATACCTTACAAACTTGTGGATGCTTATTGAGGACCACAAGACTGCAGAGTCCAAATCAAGAGTGTAAAGTTACACCGGCGGAAAGGAGGATGAGGGAAGAGGGTGGGATTCTTCCATTTGTCCGATAGGAAAATTACCTCAGTCGATCCTGTGAACGCCACTTTGTCTATGCCCATGTGCGAAGAGATCGCGGCTCCTGCGGTTGGCCCATAGCCTGGCAAAATATTGACGACTCCCGGTGGAAACCCAGCCTGTGAAAACAGTATGAGAGGAAAAAGCTTTAGACAAGAGTTGAGCCAAGAACACCACAGGCCGTGGAGGGGGAATCCAGGCCCACCCCGACCTCCCTACAGGCCCTGTGGAAGAGAGGATGGACAGAACATCAAAAGAAGAGAAGAAAGTAGGCCTCTTAATCCCAGAGAAAAGGGAGAGGCAGAACAACAAAAGTCTGGCTGCAGCAGGGAACAAATGATGAAATATCACGCATTTGCATCTGTAAGTGTGTTGATGTTGCTTTTGGATGACTTTGATCACTGTACGGCTGCATTATGGATGTGTTGTGGTCAGAATGGACAGACAGATATCAGAATGTTCAATCTGTCCATTCACAACAGTGTTGTAAAATCATAGTGCTGTACCTCTTTGATCAGAGCGCCGAGGTAGAGGCAGGTGAGAGGGGTTTGCTCAGCAGGTTTCAGGACAACCGTGTTCCCGCAGCTCAGCGCCGGCCCCAATTTCCATGCTGTCATCACCAGGGGGAAGTTCCACTGTACAGACATAGGTCAGGAACTTACTGTGGGAGCTCGTTCAAACAAACTCATATCTTTGTTTCTGAAGAGCATAACTCCTTCACTAATGATATCAGGCTCTGCACGCTCATTTAGAAACTGAAAATTTCTGTATCAATCCAGTCTGGTTACTTTGTGACCTAAGCATATTTTTGTTCATGAGGTGATTAATAAGAACAAATAGAGTGCTTACAGTTATCTTTTTTGTGTGTGTCACCCTTTCTATTTCTGTCTTTCAAGTGTACCTCCCACTCATTCCTTCCTTTCTCTTTCATTATTTTCTTTGTTCCGTTTTCTGTCTTCTCTGTCTCACTGGCACTGGCCATCATTTCCCTCTGCTGACCTGTTTTTAGCCAATCATACACTGACAGATAAGACACTTAAATACTTCCAGTAATCTGCAAAATTTACTTTAAACCCATTGAAATAGCAAGAAGTCTGAAGTCTGATTGAAATGAATATTTAAAGAAATGAATGAGAGGTACACACAGATAAAAATCTATGCGATAGTAAAGTAAATACTGAAAAAATGAATGTAATTTCTACAATAAGTCATTAGATTCAGGTAATAATAAATATAAAAAAGAAACTAAGTCTTGAGCTTATAGTTATATTTTGCTTAAAATAGTTTGTTTACTTGTTTACCATCCAATTTTCTTATAACAGTGTTCCCGTCATGCACTGGAGCATTTTGCACATTACATCACAATGTTTTCCAGTCATTTTTACACTGTTTTATCATTGCTTTTGCTGTTAGCTCTATACTATATATAGAACACTGAAAAAAAAGCTTCACTGGATTTACGTTATTTTTTAAAGGTTTATATGGGCTGAAAATAAACAAATAAATTTAATGTAGTAATGTTCAACTTAATTTGTTTAAATTCAGTCCATATAAATAGTTTGCAACCACTTACTTTAAAAAATACATAAATCCAATTAATCATTTCATTTTCAGTGTATAGTAGCTCGTCTTTTTATAATATCTGTTCATTTTATGCTCAAAATAACATTGATATCCACTGTTCATCATCATTATTCACTGTGTATGACATTTTTAATAAAATGATACAGTCCAAAAAATGACCAACAACACATACAAATTAAATTCTGTGCATTTTCAAGTTATGCCAACTTACGGAGCCTTCAAGCACCATATCTAAACCTCAAGAAACCTGTCATCCCTCACTAAGGTGTTCAAATTAATCCATTAAAAAGTATGGAGACCGCAAAAAACACAGTATCAAGAAAAACCAAAAACAGGGCCAAAACACTCACAGGAATGATCTGTCCACACACTCCAATGGGCTCATGTCTGGTGAGGGTGAAAAATTCTCCATCTATTTCACAGAGAGAACAAAAGAAAGCAGAGTGTTAGCCAAAGGGTAAAATTATGTCTAATACCCTTCTCACTTGTGAAAGGTAAAATTAAATGACAGAATTATTGGCAGTATATAGTCAGAACATAGAGCAGGACGATTACTATCAGCTGTCATTGTTACTAACACTAAGTTTCAGTCAAAAGAGCATCAGATTAAACCGCTGTCTACAAAAGAGCCTGTTTTCGTCTTACGGCAACATGGGAAAAAGTGTGATCTCTCCATCCCTCGCTGTGGAAACATGAGGTTGGCGTAAAGCATCTGGACGTGATGCATGCCAATGATTCATCTCACTTGGTGGCCAGATAAGAGATGGCCAAAAACACACATTCTGTTTGTTTGTGTTGTAATTCTATTACGGATGAGATTGGAAATGAAATAAAGCGAATCGCCGTGAGTTCCCACTATGCAAGTTTGGTTTAGCAACACAACAAAGGCCCAGTGCTGAGCTCCAGCGCTGACAGGGGGATTTACAGTTCTTTTCCCCTCCATTCTTCATTTTTATTTCTCCTGCTGTGAAAATCGTATCATAACAGCATGCAGCAGCATGGGTGCTTGTTTGTGTAAGATGAGAGAGTGAATATGAGGGAGATATTATCAAATACATGGGCGACTAGAGTGACTGTGTGCTTTATTCAAGAACTGTATCCACCTTTTTCCTTTTCCCATCAGGCTTTGCGTACATTTTGGGAATAACATCCATAAAACAGGCAGTGAAGTGTTTTTTAAAACAACAGAGTACAAAGGTTGTTTTAGTTAACAAAATTTAAATAAAATTACATTTTAAAAAATTCACAATAAATGAAAAGCTGAAACTAACAGAACAGCAGTCACAGAGAAAATTAAACATTCACATAAACTAAATGATAATTAGCAAAAATAAATGATCTTTTTCAGAAAATGAACAGTATTTGCTGTGAACACATCATCATAATCTATATCCATCAATAATCTTTTCATATCTAATTATGTGGTGGAAAATCTGACCTGCTAATAGAAAACTCCTGCAGATCAATCAAGCATATTATTATATTAAAAATATATTTTCTATATAAACATAAAACGTGTCCTATCATCTCTTCTTATGCTAACCCAAATATAAATGCATGTTTAACTACACAAACAGTATGATTTTTAATATGAATAATTTGTCTCTGAATTCCTCATAATTTTCACTTTGTTGCATTGATATAGTTTTGGATTCAGTGTTTAAACTATTATTTTATTTTTAGAACACAACAACAAACATTACATTTCACTTTGGTCGACACTATATGTGTTCAGTTCATTCATAAACTAAATATATAAAACCAAAATAGAAATGTGTTCACAAAATTGAACTAAAAAAACCCCAAAACTAAACTAAAACTAATTAAAACCATTTTGGAAAATTGTACAATATGATAATGGGAAAATAGTATCAAAATAAAAACCAATTTTAAAATGCAAAGCTATAATAACCTTGCTGGGTACAATGAGGTGGCTTTGCATATTACTGCATTGTAATAAGGAATAAAGTTGAAATGATATCAAAATTTAAAATTCACATAAACTGAAACTATGCGGAAATAACATACTAAATAACCTAAATAAAATACTAATTAGCCAAATAATGATCTTTTTTTAGAAAATAAACATTTTCTGTGAACACTAATCATCATAATCTATAATCTTTTCATTAACAGTAATTGTATGGAAAATTTTCTTTTTCGGCTTAGTCCCTTTTTTGATCTGGGGTCGCCACAGCAGAATGAACCAGCAACTTATCCAGCATATGTTTTACACAGCAGATGCCCCTCCAGCTGCAACCCATGGACTTGTGGGAGAAACCAAAGCACCCGGAGGAAACTCACATGAACGCGAGGAGAACATGTGAGGCGACAGCACTACCTATTGTGCCACCGTGTCACCAAACTTAAATATTATTACTTGATTTTTAAAAATACTGCATAATTTCACTCATTACTTAAGTAATATTTGCTTTACTTGTAATGCCTTACCCCTGACACTGTACACGTGTATACAGTGCTCGAGATGAGGGAGGATGTGAGGGGATGGCATCCCCCTTTTGGAAAAAAATGACAAAAAGCATACCCTTTGTAAAACCACAATCTCCCTTATCATCCCCTTTAGATTAACAACAGTGAGTGTAATGTAAAACTTATTATGCAAATTAAATATTAAAATTCTCTCTTTATGGTAATTTATGACTTATAAACAATGATGATTGACCAATCAGTACTCAGTATTGTAATAAGGCCCATGCACAAGCGCAATACAGTTCTTTGCGCCATTTTGAACAACTTTTAAAATGTCTAAGAGAGCAGTTCAGATGCAACTTTTTGGATTCTTTAAAAAGAGAACATTTTTATTTGTTTAATATTTAATAATATTTAATATTATATATGTACGCTGTACCTGCCATGCATTACGGCATTTCAGAACAGTTTAGGTGGCTTGACGCAAGATTAACTGAAGCTGTTCTATGTTCAATGTAAAACACAGTTAGCAGGGCTTGCTAACATTTACTTTAGCAACCCAAGTTTCTCTGTTAATATCTAACTAACAGCAGATTCTAGGTTCACTGTTTCTAAAATGAACCGCTATTATTATTCCTAAAATCAAAATGCAAATAATGTGATGCATTTTTAGAATCACTGTTGTCCAAATGTTGCTCCATTTTCTCAAAAAGCTTCCAAACAGCTCAGTCGTTGTACATCTCCAAGTGTAGAAAAAGGTGGACAGCACAGTGTATGTTCAGTTAGAGGCTGATCTAATCAGAGAGTGATGGTGACAGACAGTGCTGGAATGCACAATAATTACACGGACGCCGGACACCTCTCTAACCCATGTGACGAGGGGCTCCACACACATACTTGCACACTAATGGCTGCACCGTGACATCAGAGCTGCAAGTCTGCTGCTGTCCCGTAGTCTCCAGGCTCCCTGCCGCGTTCCTTTCAAACAACTAAATTAGCCAGAACAGACCCCCAGTGCCCCCCCTTGCCCCGTAGTGCCCCCCGGCCCCGTAGCTGTCACTGTGCTCCACCGATGGCAGCGCTCCACAGGAGGGCGGCCATTAGCACTCAGATTTATAACTGTTACGGGACCTCGTCTGTTTACCCTCAGTGCACCTCCATAACCCCACAACATCTCCTGCAGGCCTCAGAGAAAACACAGCTCTACCCCGGCTTAGAGCTGCACTCTCTCTGCTCAAGGTCAAACTTCCTAAAATGTCTAGGATGGGTCTGCAAGTAAAGCTCTGAGTGCATCTGTCTCCTCCTTGCTCTCCGAAATGGCATTAAGTTTTTTAAAAGATTAATGTAGCCTACCAAAACGTGTAATGATGCGATGGCATTATTGAGATCATTGTGAAGTTTTATGTAAATATAACCTTTTTAGTTTGGATAGTTTTAATAAATTTATATATCCTAAATTGATTTTTAAATGGGGCGACGCTCACAGCAAGAAAATAGCTAGTTCGAGCCTCGGCTGGGTCGGTTGGCATTTCTGTGTAGAGTTTGCATGTTCTCCCAGTGTTCACGTAGGTTTCCTCTAGGTGCCTCGGTTTCCCCCACAAGTTCAAAAACATGCGGTGCAGGTGATTTAGGTAAGCTAAAATTGTCCGTAGTGTATGTGTGTATGGGTATGAGTGTATGGGTGTTTCCCAGTGATGGGTTGCAGCTGGAAGGGCATCCGCTGGGTAAAAAATATGCTAGATAAGTTGGCGGTTTATTCCGCTGTGGCGACCCTAGAATAATAAAGGGACTAGGCCGAAAAGAAAATGAATGAATGAATTTTAAATGTTTAAATGGACATGTTCCAATGCTGTTTTCGATCTAATCAGTAGGCATCAAACCTTAGAGTCACACGTGTCTTGTCTCAAAGTATAAGACCTCTTTTGGTCAATTTGTTTTCTCTGTTAAGGGAACCAAATTGTGGAATGATTTACCTGTTAGCCTAAAATTAGAAAGTTACATAAATATTTTTTGTAGTGTACTTAAAGTAGTTAAAAACAAAAGAGCAGTCAGTGTTTCACAAATAGTCTACTATAAGTTTGTTTGATCATGCTGCCTTTGCTTTTGCCTTACAGCAATTTTATGTAAAGAATTATAATGTTGTGTATATGTATCTATTTCATTTACATTTAATGTCAAGCCTCCCGTGGACAGGTGTTGAGAATTTGGAGATCTGCTAAAGCCTGCTAAAGCCTGAAGTCTGCTAAAGTCTGCTTAAATAAATGTTTTTGGTCGTCCAGTGTAATTGTGATGTCCAAGTCAAATGAATACTGTAAATACTCTTAATCTCCACCACTGTTTGAAAGTTTGGGGGTCTTAGTGTAGAGTCATAAAACTGTTCCGAACACTTCACCTTTTTGGAAATAGGCTCATTTTACAACTCTCCCAGAGTTAAACAGTTGAGTTTAAACATCTTTGAATCTATTTGGCTGATCTCATTGTCTAGTGGGAGCACCTTTCCTTGATTATTATGCCAGTATGAGAGGATAGTTCCTAGCCATATTGGCATAGAAAAATGCAACTTTTAATTTTCTGTCAGTCTTAGGAAACAATGTAACTACACAAGAGTCGAGCTTTAAATCGGAAAATCAGCAAAGCTCTTTTTGGATTTTTTTATTTATTTATTTTTTTGAGTGAATTAAGTTGGAGTTAAAATTGCTCCCTCCAGACCTGGAAATCAGCTGAATATATTTAAAAATGGTAAAACTCAGCTGTTTAACTCTAGGGGAGTAGTAAAATGAGCCTATATCCCAAAAACGTGGAGTGTTAATTTAATGAATCCTTGCTGAATAAAATTAATATTATTATTTTAATCTTATTAAATACTTTAAGTTATTTTAAAAATATTTAACTATTGATTAAAATGTTTAAATATAATTGTAATACATGTTGAATAAACATTAAATATCTAAAAGAAACAATAAGAGTGTATATTTTGTAAATGTTTAATATAAGTTTATTATTTAAAGCATGTGTTTGAAAATCCATGCTGTAGTGCCAAGTAATTGCAGTATTTCTGCATTTACTCTTCAGTGTCTGGACTTTCAGCAGTGAAACTAAACTGAACTTCAACTCTGAAAACTGGACTGACACGATTTCAATTTACCAGAACTTCCATGTTAAGCTGCTTTAACACAATCTACATTGTAAAAGCGCTATACAAATAAAAATAAACTGAATTATATTACTCATGGTCATTCTTATCAAAAGCCTAAATTACTTTTGCTGCATGTTCCATCGACTAATTTAATATGAGTTGAACCAACATAATTCTTGACTTTGTTTTGGGGACAACTTAATTGTTTTATGTTCAATCCACTTAAAGCTATGTTGATTTGTGTTGGGACAACATGAAGGAATTGTGGGAACGCTGCATTTTTTACAGTGAGCTTTACTTCTGTTTTAGAGGTACTGATTACTGTGAGATAAAACTTTGCAAGCCTTTAAAACGTTTAATTTTAGGATGTTTTTTTTTTTTTTCATTTTAGTACTCTTCAACTTTTAGCTTTGATTCCCCTTTGTTATGGGGGTTCAGGCCTTAATTAGAGAGTAGAGCCTCCCCAAAATCCCCTATCATTAACATGCTATTTGTGTGTGTGTATGTAAGGTTTATGACAGGGTGCGCATCAGCTTACCAATTGGAATTGTAGACCCGTGGATCTTATCTGCCCATCCAGCGTAATATCGAAATGTTTTAATGATCCCCTGAAGGTCCACAAAGAAGCAGGGGAGGAAAGGTTTGCCGCTGTCCAGAGACTCCAGGGTCTGGAAGGAGAGAAGCAGATGAGAGTGTGGGTGTGTGATGAAAAATCACTCATAGGGATTGAACCTGACACCCCCCATGCTGCATATCTAAAGCACACACGTACATCTGCTCCCCAAAGAAACATGATACTCATACAGCCCTCACCAGAGACCTGACTTTGTTATCTCTGCGTCAGCCGGCTGTGATTTCTTATCGACGTGGGATTAGATTGATATAAAGAGTGATCGTAACCACATGGACATTGCGTTTCTCTTTTAAAGCAATTCGCTCTGACACTTGTTCCGAGCTAGATGAAGAAAATCTGTTGTTTCAGTCCATTTAGGACAAAGTCTAAACCATAACATGAAAGAGATTTATTCAAAATGGCCGCAGCGAGAGTTACATGTGTGAAGACAAACACTGCGATCTTGTCTCCTCCGACACATCTCTGCTAAAGAGAAGTAAAAGCAGATGTCTACGACGGAAGAACGGCGGAGATAAAAGCAAATCACGACACAAAACAATACCTCACCTTTACATTTTGCTCCTGACCTAAGTGATCGTTAGCACCCAAAGGTCATGTGTCATCATCATGGCTTTCAGATATTTGCAGAACACCTCAAAACTGGTTGAAAAACAGCAGTTCCTGCCTCAGTAAGCCCCAAGCAGACAGACAGGCCACTCATTAGACACTTGCTTATTGTTGTGAGTGTCTTTGTCTGCTCAGATGGCTCTGTCCTGTTGAATCTGATTCTCACTCGGAAAAAACTGGCACTGACCAGAATGAGACTTGGGTTAAGTCTGCCCAGAAAACCCCTGGTTCGTGAGTGAAGGTGATAGATTTGAGGGAGTCAGGACTGATGCCAACAACAGATGCCAACGTCAAAGTATCCTATTATCAGATTTAGTATTAAAGATTATAAAGAGTTCAGACGCAAAAACCACTAAAAGCCGTCTGAAATGTTCTGGCTCCTATGTGTAGGTTCTTTTCGTGACCTTTAAAATGAAATAGCTCAGAATAAACATAGGAGGCTGAGAAAAATGCTAATTTTCGACAGAAATTCCCGACGAGGCTTAAAGGTTTTTGCACTCAAACTGCATGTGAATTAATGTATCTAAAAATTTATTTTGTCACCAGTCTGTACCTCTTGTCGCCAATCCAAGTTTTAGGAACAACAAATAATAACTTGACTCCTAGTTGCATATTTGATATCAGAAGTGGCTTATATGAAAGGTAAAGGCCTCTAGATTACACTTATTTTTCCAAAATAAAATATGATCATGCCTTGATTTTTAATTATTTTTTAGGACAGTAAGGTCTGACTTTGCTTAGACAAAACTCTTGTCATTTAACAGAAATAATGCACAGTATAGAATATAAAGTCATGGTGCAGTGAAAAAAGAATTCATATTGTGTATGACTCTCATGAGCTTAGAGGACTGCATCCATACATCTCTGCAATGACTCAGATAACTGATTAATAAAGTCAACTGGAATGGCAAAAAAGCATTCTTGCAGGACTCCCAGAGATCATCAAGATTCTTTGGATTCATCTTCAATGCCTCCTTCATCAAACCGCATACATGCTCAATAATGTTCATGTCTGGTGATTGGGCTGGTCAATCCTGGACCACCTTGACCTTCTTTGCTTTCAGGAACTTTGATGTGGTGGCTGAAGTATGAAAAGAAGTGCTATCCAGATGAAGAATTATTAATGTTTGTAATGTATTAGGCAGCACAAATGCCTTGATACCTCAGGCTGTTGATGTTGCCATCGACTCTGTAGATCTCTCGCACACCCCCATACAAAATGTAACCCCAAACCATGATTTTTCCTTCTCCAAACTTAGAGAATCTTGGGTCCACGCAGATTCCAGTAGGCCTTCTGCAGTATTTTTGATGATTGGGATGCAGTTCAACAGATTATTCATCAGGAAAATCTACCCTCTGCCACTTTTCTAAATGATCAACTAGAAGTCAAGTTTATATTTCTTGATGTTACATCTGGTATCGACGACAAAACTTTTGTCAGGTAGTTTATGTACAATAAATGCTGTTAAAATGATTTTAATAATACTTAGGGCTTAATTGGTCCGCTGTTCAGCTTATGAAAATACTATTTAGCATACTTAACGAGTAACTGTAGTACCTTTTGAACAGTATTTTTCTTCAGAATAGAATACATAATTATAAAATACGTTTAAGTATTTCCCAATCAAAATGTAGATCAAATATACGTCTTTTCTATCACTGTAGGTCAAGTATACTTGAAGGGATAGTTCACCCAAAAATTATAATGTACTGTTTACTCACCCTCAAGTGGTTCCAATCCTTTAAAAGTTTTTTTTTTTAGACAACACAAAAGAAGATATTTTGAAAAAAGTTCAAAATCTTCTTCCACAGTAGGGAAAACATTTCATGGAAGTCAGTGGTTACAGGTTTCCAACATTTTTCAATTCAACTTTTTTTGTCTAACAGAACTTAGAAATGTTTGAAACCACATAAGGCCAAGTAAATGATGACTGATTTTGGGTGAACTATCTCTTTAAGTGTAATTCCAGGTGTTTTGTTTCTGAGAAGTATTTAAATTTCTGAGGAAAAAAGTCTGGAGGACACTTTTAAGTGTAAAGTATATTAATAACACACTTATTGCAAGGGAAGGCTTGGTCGTTAAGTCTGACAAGAGTGTTGGATGGAGTACTTACAGCAAGGTAAGCACTGTCTCTCTCCACCAGATCAGCCAGTTTGAACAGTAGCTTCCCCCGTTCAGATGCATCCATCTTCCTCCATACTGAACCCAGAGAGAAGGCCGAACGTGCAGCCTGCACAGCTTTATCCACATCAGCCTAACAGAAAGGGAGAGACAGAGCAGACCGAAAAGAGACAGAGATATAAGCAAGAGGAGGGAGAGCGAGAGCGGAGAGCACATTTAATGATATAACATTATCCTCCAAACAGGTGTTTGTCCACCTCAGGGACAAATTAAATCCATTCATTCCGGATGAGTCTCAATGACTTCCCCAGTTGCACGTTCAGGGGGTCTCTATTTCCTGTATCCATTCTGGTTTTCCACACTTTCTGCCTGATTTACAGAGAGGAACTACAGCCTCTAGCTTGCTTAACCACATTAGACTGAACTACAGCCCCTTCCCTCCCTCTCTTTCAGTTCTGGATGCTTATTCATGCTGAGTGAAGGCTGAAAGTGAGAAGCACAATAGCGGCGCTGGACGACTAAATGTAGTCCAGCAGAGCAATTGTGCCAAACCTGTTTCTGGCAATGCTTTGACCAATTACCAAATACACACTCTGCTGACAAACACACTAGCATGCTAAGAAACCACACACGCGCGCACACACACACACACACACACACACAAACAGACCTTGTCGGATTCCTGGACATCACAGATCTTCTCTCCTGTGGCAGGGTTGTACGTGTGGAAGACCTTGCCGCTCACAGAATCATGCCATTCATTATTAATAAAAATCTACAATGAGAGAAAGGAAAGATATTGTTTAGTTTTCACAACAGTTTTAAAGCAACAAGGTGGAAGTTAGGCAGAACTATCTCAGAATTGTAGCTTTGTGTTGTGGAAGGGTTGTCTGAATGTTCTGAACGAAAGTTCTTCCAGTGACATTAAATAAACATTCTGCTTTCTAATGTTCTCAAAATGTTACCACAAAATCATTTCAGCAATTCTTTGATAGAAGTGCTATAAGCAAGAAGACATAAAACTATATTAAAATTTGAAATGCTGAAATGAACAATGCAGCCAATTACAAAAACTTCTATACAAAAAAATATTTTTTATTCTTAATATACAGTGCAATACTGCAAAGAAGATATATATATATATATATATATATATATATATATATATATATATATATATATATATATACATATATATATATATACATATATATATATTATCACTGCATTCTAAATCATAACTTTAACTTTCTAAAACTTGTACTAAACTATACTCAGTAAAAATACCCCAACATACTGTATAACTGTTATATACTGTAACTGTATAATTGGGTTATAAAATTTAACCCAGTGCATCAGCTATTTTGATTAAATGTTATTTTTTTCCATTCTGATATTACTATTGTGACTATTACTAGTCCATTCATTCATTTATTTTCGGCTTATTCCCTTTATTAATCTGGTGTCGCCACAGCGGAATGAACCACCAACTTCCAGCTGCAACCCATCACTGGGAAACATCCATACACATCTATTCGGACACATACACTACGTACAATTTAGGCAACCCAATTCACCTATATTGCATGTCTTTGGGCTTGTGAGGGAAACCGAAGCACCTGGAGGAAACTCACGCGAACACAGGGAGAACATGCAAACTTCAAACAGAAATGCCAACTGACCCAGCTGCAGCTCGAACCATTGTGCTACCCACTGCACCACCGTGTCGACATACAGTTTTCAAAAATATTGAAAATGCTTTATTTCTATACCATTTTAAGTTTAGACACTTAAGCATTTTATCAGTTTAAAATAAATATGAAGTGCATGTTTGTATCATCAGTAATTAAGAGTGCTGGTGAAACAGATATAAAAAAAACGACATGGAGAGGTAATTTGATAAATAAAAAAGTAGTCAAAATGATTGCGTTACAGCTTAAATAAACATTTCAATGCGAAAACAACATTATGCAGGCATAATAATACAGCTGTTCTGTGTCAGTTAGGGTTAGGGTTACATTTACAAACTTATAAATGTACCTTATTTAATCTGTAGAAACTGAGACCAGATATATGAATGAATCATTCTTATGAACTGACCCATTGTTAACATTATTTCATGATGAACCTGCTGAATCAGTTAAAACTGCATGTTGAGCGCAAAACATTCCCAGAACCCCAATTAATCCCCAGTCAATATATAATATTGCTGATATGACCTTTATAAACTTATACCATTCCATATTTTCAAAAGTACATGATGTGTATAATAATAGTTTATCCCTCCATCAAGCTGATGTATCGAATTAAGACAAATGTTAGGATAAGAATTAAGCAAAACATCTTGCACACCATCTATAGACTCCCATGAGGAGTTATGGCGAGTTAGTTTAACTTTGCAATGATGCACAGAATCACAAGAGGCTGTCTTTTTTCTCTTCCCGTGTGTTTCATGGTTGTGGTGTGAGAGGAATCTCTGGGAACCGTGTGCTATTGCAGAGCTGCCCAATATCACTCTCTTGGGAGTGATCCAGCAACCAGACAGAAAGAGGTGGGGGAAAGGGGAAAAGCAGAGATAAATCCCTATCAGACATACAACACGCACACGGATATAAGTGCATAGGTGCGCACACACACAAACACAGAGATACACACACACACAGACGCACGTTTCACAACATCACTGCTCGTTTACGAGACCATAAAACACGGGCCGCACTCTGGCTCTGGTGATGCGTTAAAAGAAGCAGCCCGTAAAACAACCGCCTCAGATTCCAAAAAGATGGATTTTTCAAGCTCGATAAAGAAGAGAAGGAAAATACATCCTTCTTTGTGCACACAATGTTCAGTTGCTTACGCTGTGACGGATAAGGTGTTAAAGCATCTGCTGGCTCTGAGCTCTACATGCACACATTCACTCCTTATGCCATTTGTGTGGAGGAAAACATCCAGTGCAAAGTGAAGTGCGGCCCTGGGCCTCCTCAAACTCTCCCGCATTTTTACTAATGTAAACTTACAGGCTTAAGTACAATTTAATTGGCTGTAAAGCACGAGGCTTGTTTACTTTAGAACAGGTATAAAATGCCAGTTAACTTGGAGGCGGTTCAAACTTCCTCAGTCACTCCCACCCTGCATCTCCCCCGAAATTGGCATGAATAAATCACTCTTGGACAGGGTAGGTATCAGTCTGTACCATGCTGAATCCTCTCTGATACATTTCCATCAGACTCCCTTCACCCTCCCTCCCAGGCCTCTTGCATTAAGGGGGCCACCTTTAATCTGACTCTCATTTGGAGCACTTCATAAAAGTGTCAGTGGTCTCGTCGAGCAGAGGGCCTGTTACAAAAACAGAAAGCCCCGTAGAGGAGCGAATTAGTTTTAAAATTTATAGAGGCCACTGTAGTGGAATGCCTTAAATCAGGGGCGGACTGTGACAGGCTAGTGGGCTGGGGAAGAATGCAGATGGTGGGTAGCTTTATGCTCTTCGTAACCCCACACTTACAGCACCCCGGAACGGAGATGAGGGGAATGCTGGGTGAGCCGAGGACTGGGCCACCATCTAAATCACCACTAGAAAAAGACGGCCATTAGAGGCCATTTGGCCCAGTCTTCCCTGAGCTCTGGGGGCTCTCGGACTTTTGTCTCTTCCCATTGAGAAAGTTGATAAAGAGTGACAGGCCGGTGCAGTAAATCAACTCTCAAGCTTTCTTTATACTTTGGCTTTGATTAAAGAAAAGGGATAAGAACGCAAGTGCAAAAGTGCAGAAATTCATATTGATCACCGCTTCTTTTGCCGTAACACTGCTGGAGGCTTCAGCGGGGCTGTAAAGAACTTGAGTAATCGTGCTTCATTACTACACTTAAGCATTATTTTGGGGGATTTGTTCTTTACTGTTGAAACAGAATATTTCTCATCACAAAAATGTGCTTTTTATTCATTACAAGATTAATTTAAGCCTCTAAAGTTAGAAAAATAGAGTTTTTTACAGGTCATAATGTCTCCTTTAATAATGTCTACTTTATTGAATTCATTTTATCAAATGACCAAGTCAAATAAGCTTATATAACTTGATAACTTGATTATAACATACTTGATAACTTTTAGTGCTTATAATATAGCCAACAGCCAACAAAATCAATAGACGAATTACCAGTTTGTAAACATTCAGGATGCGTGCGTACGAGGTTGCAGAAAAAAAAAAAAAACGGGAGCGCTAGCATTTACAGCGAGGGAATGACATTCGATGCGGTACAAAGTTTGTTGTTGTATTAGAGATAAGTTATATTGATTATTTATTATATATGTTGTTTACATAATACTTTCAGCATATTATAACAGCTTGTCTCCCAGTGATTAGCACAGTTATTCGGCAAAATTGAGTGAGCAGCATTCGTCTGGCAGGTCCATTTGCAATTGCACCCTCCCAATGGATAATGGATAAGACGAAATGGCCAAGCATCCAGCCCGAAATATACAACTATCACAGTGAAGCTCCAAGTGATTTTACAAGAGAGAAGTTAAAGGCCTACAAGTCTTTGGATGCCAACAATTGTGTGCAAGAAATAATGCTCCATGATAACCAGATTCCAAACTTTGTAGTGCTAAAAGCCGAGGTTCTGACTAGCCAAAGACAAGAAGACAGAACTGTACAAGGCCTGGGTAATCATCAACAAGCAAAACAACTGCATTCTGACAGCGAACTGCACCCATACGGCAGAGTATGTGTAACTTACCAACGCAATCTCATGGCAATTCATATGAATTCGTAAACGATCTAATTCGTACAATTTAGTACGATTTGCTCACCACCCAATGACGCTTGCAGTTAGGGCTGGGGTTGGGTTGAGGTTTTTAAAATCATACATTAAAATCGAATTAGCCACTAAACTGACAACAGGTAAAATACTTACTATTCCTCGTGAAATCAGGCCAACTTTCATGTTTCATTCTTAGCATTCAGTGTCCGCAGTTTAATCAACCATATTTAACAGTTTTTGCTGAAATCATTGCTGCAATTAAAAAAAAGAGTAATGTGTATGATTCAGCATAGTGTGAACTTACCTTTTATAACATGAGAACTGCAGTGTCGAGCATTTTTTAATTAAGTCCTCAATCCATTCAGCTCTTCTTATGGTTGTTAGCCAAATACGTCTGCGGTTGGCATTAAAAGCAGCGTGGTGTATGGTAAAATTTAGGTTTTCTATTTTTGCACTTTCGATTTTGGCATCCTACCACACAACATGACACGTTTGCCATTGAAACTGGTCTTTTTTTTGCGGTATGCGTAGGTTGGTAATTCTTCTTTAGCTTGATTTATAGACCAAAATCATAAAAGGCTTTCTGTTTTAATGTGGCATAAATTATCCATATTTGTCCTTTGCGAAGAGACATCTCATCAGTGACCACAACATGTTTAAAAGAAATGAAACCATAAAAACATTCCAATTACAGCACTGCTAAATATGGACAAGCCCAACTCAAGTGTAAACATGGTCGATGAAGAGTCCATAAACAACTATATTCAATTGTCAAACAACTTTAATATCAGCTGCGGTTGAATTTAAACTCATGGTGACAGGTTTCAGGATGCTGCTCATCATTACAAACTTTCAGACAGTTTTAAAGAGAGAAGATACCACAGTTTTCTTATATATTTTAACTCTCATCCACTTCAAGAGAGTGTTCTAACTCAATATACTGTAGCAGAGTTTGTTCGAGTACTGAAAGAAAACGAAAACTAACCGTCAAGCTGTGACATCTAGATTTTGTTTACA